GTCTATAGTCTAGTTTATAGTCTAGTCTATAATCTAGTCTATAGTCTAGTCTATAGTCTAGTCTATAGTCTAGTCTATAGTCTAGTGTATAGTCTGTCTATAGTCTAGTCTATAGACTAGTAGTCTATAGTCTAGTCTATAGTCTAGTAGTCTATAGTCTAGTTATAGTCTAGTCTATAGTCTAGTCTATAGTCTAGTCTATAGTCTAGTCTATAGCTCTAGTCTATAGTCTAGTCTATAGTCTAGTCTATAGTCTAGTCTATAGTCTAGTCTATAGTCTAGTCTAGTCTATAGTCTAGTTCTATAGTCTAGTCTATAGTCTAGTCTATAGTCTAGTTCTATAGTCTAGTCTATAGTCTAGTCTATAGTCTAGTCTATAGTCTAGTCTATAGTTAGTCTATAGTCTAGTCTATAGTCTAGTCTATAGTCTAGTCTATAGTCTAGTCTATAGTCTAGTCTATAGTCTAGTCTATAGTCTAGTCTATAGTCTAGTCCTATAGTCTAGTCTATAGTCTAGTCTATAGTCTAGTCTATAGTCTAGTCTATAGTCTAGTCTAGTCTAGTCTATAGTCTAGCCTATAGTCTAGTCTATAGTCTAGTCTATAGTCTAGTCTATAGTCTAGTCTATAGTCTAGTCTATAGTCTAGTCTATAGTCTAGTCTATAGTCTAGTCTGTAGTCTAGTCTATAGTCTAGTCTATAGTCTAGTCTATAGTCTAGTCTATAGTCTAGTCTATAGTCTAATCTATAGTCTAGTCTGCAGTCTAGTCTATAGTCTAGTGTATAGTCTAGTGTATAGTCCAGTCTATAGTCTAGTCTATTCTATAGTCTAGCCTAAAGTGTAATATTTCAAAGAGGATTTAGTTAATTAGGCCACGATTTTCTGCTGTATTTTTAAGAAAGAAACAAATTAAAATCAACCACACTTGGGGTTTAAAATAATGTTTGTATAATTAAAAGCAAAAAAAAAAAAATAGAAGAAAGGATAATACTAAAAATTTAAATTAAAAAGTTTACATGACAAACATTTCCTTTACGTTTTTCAATTTTCCTTTTAACTTGTTTTTAAGTTTTTTAACATTATTTACAACTTTTTTCGATTTGTTTACTTAAGGCCCTTGAGTATAAACGTTTGTTTTTGAAAAGTAATGACAGTTAATGACATGACATATAAAACAAGTGTTTATTATGTGGGCAGAAGAGAGATAGAGAGGAAGAGTAGATATGTATGTGTAATTAGAAAATTATTCCTTTGTCCATTTTGTGTTAAGAATACAAAAAAGAAACGTTAAGGTAAGTGCTGTACATATAAATGGTTTTTAACCGTATGTATTTGTTGTTGTTTTTGTTTTAAGAAACCACCCACCAGTGCTGCCTAACTGTTTTAATAATGGCCTGTTCTTGTAATTAGTTTCATATTTATAAATCCAACAATATGGTGGGTTTCAGTTTACACACACATTCGCTGAATATAATATGCAGCAGAAAGAGGAGACATGTTTTAAATCAATAATAAATTTTAATAAGAAAACATACGAGTTATTTAGAAAAGGAGGAGATACCGTTATGATTAGTGATGCCAATTATTTAGATAAGATTAGAGAGTATACCATATACTACGCTATAGTCTAGACTAGACTATAGACTAGACTATAGACTAGACTATAGACCAGACTATAGACTAGACTATAGACTAGACTATAGACTAGACTATAGACTAGACTATAGACTAGACTATAGACTAGACTATAGACTAGACTATATACTAGACTATAGACTAGACTATAGACTAGACTATAGACTAGACTATAGACTAGACTATAGACTAGACTATAGACTAGACTATAGACTAGACTATAGACTAGACTATAGACCAGACTATAGACTAGACTATAGACTAGACTATAGACTAGACTATAGACTAGACTATAGACTAGACTATAGACTAGACTATAGACTAGACTATAGACTAGACTATAGACTAGACTATAGACTAGACTATAGACTAGACTATAGACTAGACTAAAGACTAGACTATAGACTAGACTAAAGACTAGACTAAAGACTAGACTATAGACTTGACTATAGACTAGACTATAGACTAGACTATAGACTAGACTATAGACTAGACTAAAGACTAGACTATAGACTAGACTATAGACTAGACTATAGACTAGACTATATACTAGACTATAGACTAGACTATAGACTAGACTATAGACTAGACTATAGACTAGACTATAGACTAGACTATAGACTAGACTATAGACTAGACTATAGACTAGACTATAGACTAGACTATAGACTAGACTATAGACTAGACTATAGACCAGACTATAGACTAGACTATAGACTAGACTATAGACTAGACTATAGACTAGACTATAGACTAGACTATAGACTAGACTATAGACTAGACTATAGACTAGATTATAGACTAGACTATAGACTAGACTATAGACTAGACTATAGACTAGACCATAGACTAGACTATATACTAGACTATAGACTAGACTATAGACTAGACTATAGACTAGACTATAGACTAGACTATAGACTAGACTATAGACTAGACTATAGACTAGACTATAGACTAGACTATAGACTAGACTATAGACTAGACTATAGACTAGACTATAGACTAGACTATAGACTAGACTAAAGACTAGACTATAGACTAGACTATAGACTAGACCATAGACTAGACTATAGACTAGACTATAGACTACACTACAGACTAGACTATAGACTAGACTATAGACTACACTACAGACTAGACTATAGACTAGACTATAGACTAGACTATGACTAGACTATAGACTAGACTATAGACTAGACTAGAGACTAGACTATAGACTAGACTATAGACTAGACTATAGACTAGACTATAGACTAGACTATAGACTAGACTATAGACTAGACTATAGACTAGACTATAGACTAGACTATAGACTAGACTATAGACTAGACTATAGACTACTATAGACTAGACTATAGACTAGACTATAGACTAGACTATAGACTAGACTATAGACTAGACTATAGACTAGACTATAGACTAGACTATAGACTAGACTATAGACTAGACTATAGACTAGACTATAGACTAGACTATAGACTAGACTATAGACTAGACTATAGACTAGACTATAGACTAGACTATAGACTAGACTATAGACTAGACTATAGACTAGACTATAGACTAGACTATAGACTAGACTATAGACTAGACTATAGACTAGACTATAGACTAGACTATAGACTAGACTATAGACTAGACCATAGACTAGACTATAGACTAGACCATAGACTAGACCAAAGACTAGACTATAGACTAGACTATAGACTAGACTATAGACTAGACTATAGACTAGACTATAGACTAGACTATAGACTAGACTATAGACTAGACTATAGACTAGACTATAGACTAGACTATAGACTAGACTATAGCCTAGACTATAGACTAGACTATAGCCTAGACTATAGCCTAGACTATAGACTAGACTAAAGACTTGACTATAGACTTGACTATAGACTTGACTATAGACTATACTATATACTAGACTAGTAGACTGTAGACTAGACTACACTATAGACTAGACTGTAGACTAGACTATAGACTACACTACAAACTAAACTATAGACTAGGCTATAGACTAGACTATAAGCTATACTATAGACTAGACTATAGACTAAACTATAGAATATACTATTGACTAGACTATAGACTAGACTTTAGACTTGACTATTGACTTGACTATAGACTAGATTATAGACTAGACTATTGAATTCGCTATAGACTAGATTATAGACTGGCTTTTTTGATTAATAAATGAAGAAATTAATAAATTTGTTATAAATTTTAGACATCTGATCAATTTTCTATGAAAATACTAAAACTTTTTTTATATTTTTATTGTATTTCCAGTTTTGAAAAGGTCTACGCCCCACGAGGACGCCAGACTCTCTGTGAACAACGAAGTCCAGATTTAACCTACAACGATACCATCAAACGTATACAATTAAATAAGGAAAATAGTGAAATTTTAAGGAAATTGGCTGAAAAACAATTGGAGAGAAGGAAAACAATAAAAGACCTTAAAAACGTGCAAATTATAACAAAACAAAGTTTAAACAAATTTAATAATATTCATAAATATAAACAAATTAAACAAAGAAAACGTAGTTTGGGAAAACTAGAAAGTGTTGACTGCGATTTAAATAAACAACAACAATTTCCTTTGAAAAATGAATATACGGTAATACGACCTTTTACAGCAGCAACCACAAATAATTTAAAACAACAACAACAGCGGCAGCAGCAGCAAGCGCTTGGGGAAGAGAGTGAAACCTTAACATATTATTTGCAATTGGCAACGGATTACTATGAACAAGGCTTCCTGAAAAACATAAAATATTTGGAAAACGTAGGAGAACGTAATCAACTGAGACGTAAGAGGCAATTACAGCTACAGCAACAACAACAGCTAAAGCAACAACAAATACACATTTGCAAAGACCTGGCAAATATTTTTACAAATTTATCAACAAAGTCTAGTCTACAAACGGAACGCATAACGGATGCAACGTTAAATAGTAGCGACATTAAACGACGACAAATCAATCAAATCGCCAACAGCGACTACAACTACAAATATAATCCAATTGAAATACAAAATGAAGAATTTCCGCTGAAGGCCGTCGAAAGAAATTGTCCCATTAGAGTCAATATTAAACCACAAACGAACACAGTTAATGTAAAATTGAAAGAGAAATTCTATGGCAAAGAAGGAAACATCCCGTCTCAGAAGGATTCTAATAGCATGAACGATTATTTAAATGGTAATTTGTTATATACACAATTACAGCAGCAACAACAACAACAGCAAGATCTTAATAATTATTCCCATAATCCGGGTAATGCCTTATTAATTGATTCCTTAATTGATAACTTAAAAGATTTAGATATACAAGAAAATCGTACAAATCTACCACGTATAACCCTCACCGATTATACCCACAATTATCCCACCGAATTAAATTCGGACTATCAGCAACAAGAACAACAACATCAACAACAAACTTCAGCTGAAGAAGGTAAAAAACGTTTAGACTCTTATCTTCTTAAACAATCCAGTTTAGATTGCTACAATCTAGACATACCCTTGGATTCCCACTATCACAGTGAAGCCAGACCACCGTAAATTTGTATAAACTTACGCCAAAAAAATCTTTACTCTTTAACAAATCACACAAAAAGAGATTTCTAAATCTCCCTCTCTTTACCATGGTGGCTATTGAACATCGTTCTACATCGGCTACAACTTCAACATCCATATTATCGCCCACCTCAAATACTTCGGCCACTTCTGCCTCCACATCGGCTGCTTCTACTTCTCTATCCACCTTATCCACCGCTACCGCCAATACCCACAAGAAAATGTCCTCAACTTCGGACTCAGTGTCGGCCTCTAAATCAGCCGTTAGTCAGCGTGATGTTGAGGTTAAGGTTTCCAAGAAAAAAGGCTCGACCACCGCTAACGCTACAAATAAAGATGCCACTGCCCTGGAATTGTCAAAAAAGGTTTTGAAATTGGATTTAACGGGAAAAGAAGTGGAGGAGTATTCCTCATTGAAATCGCCCAAATCACCTATAGTAGGTAAGTGTGAAAAAAATCATAAACATGTTTAAATTAGATTTAATCTTCCGGGATTAATTAGTCTACTTTCATAATTGCCTTAATTTTAGCAGATATAGAATAGGCTATTGTCCTGATTTTTGGACTATGGACTTGAATATAGACCATAGACTAGACTATAGGCCAGACTATAGACTATACTATAGAATAGACTAGACTATAGACTAGACTATAGACTAGACTATAGACTAGACTATAGACCAGACTATAGACCAGACTATAGACCAGACTATAGACCAGACTATAGACCAGACTATAGACTATACTATAGACCAGACTATTGACCAGACTAGACTATAGACCAGACTATAGACTAGACTATAGACCAGACTATAGACTAGAATATAGACTAGACTATAGACTAGACTATAGACTATAGACTAGACTATAGACTAGACTATAGACTAGACTATAGACTAGACTATAGACTAGACTATAGACTAGACTATAGACTAGACTATAAACTAGACTATAAACTAGACTATAAACTAGACTATAGACCAGACTATAGACTAGACTATAGACTAGACTATAGACTAGACTATAGACTAGACTATAGACTAGACTATAGACTAGACTATAGACCAGACTATAGACTAGACTATAGACTAGACTATAGACTAGACTATAGACCAGACTATAGACCAGACTATAGACCAGACTAGACTATAGACTAGACTATAGACCAGACTATAGACTAGACTACAGACCAGACTATAGACCAGACTATAGACCAGACTATAGACTAAACTATAGACCAGACTATAGACCAGACTATAGACCAGACTATAGACGAGACTATAGACCAGACTATAGACCAGACTATAGACCAGACCATGGACCAGACTATAGACTAGACTATAGACTAGACTATAGACCAGACTATAGACTAGACTATAGACTATACTATAGACTAGACTATAGACTAGACTATAGACTAGACTTTAGACTAGACTATAGACTAGACTATAGACTAGACTTTAGACTAGACTATAGACTAGACTATAGACTAGACTTTAGACTAGACTATAGACTAGACTATAGACTAGACTATAGACTAGACTATAGACTAGACTATAGACTAGGCTATAGACTAGACTATAGACTATACTATAGACCAGACTATAGACTAGACTATAGACCAGACAATAGACTAGCCTTTAGACTATATTATAGACTAGACTATAGACTAGACTATAGACTAGACTTTAGACTAGACTATAGACTAGACTATAGACTAGACTAGACTATAGACTAGACTATAGACTAGACTATAGACTAGACTAGACTATAGACTAGACTAGACTATAGACTAGACTAGACTATAGACTAGACTATAGACTAGACTATAGACTAGACTATAGACTAGACTATAGACTAGACTATAGACTAGACTATAGACTAGACTGTAGACCAGACTATAGACTAGACTATAGACTATATTATAGACTAGACTATAGACTAGACTATAGACTAGACTTTAGACTAGACTATAGACTAGACTATAGACTAGACTATAGACTATACTATAGACTAGACTATAGACTAGACTATAGACTAGACTTTAGACTAGACTTTAGACTAGACTATAGACTAGACTATAGACTAGACTTTAGACTAGACTATAGACTAGACTATGGACTAGACTATAGACTACACTATAGACTATACTATAGACCAGACTATAGACTAGACTATAGACCAGACAATAGACTAGACTATAGACTATATTATAGACTAGACTATAGACTAGACTATAGACTAGACTTTAGACTAGACTTTAGACTAGACTATAGACTAGACTATAGACTATAGACTAGACTATAGACTAGACTATAGACTAGACTATAGACTAGACTATAGACTAGACTATAGACTAGACTATAGACTAGACTATAGACTAGACTAGACTAGACTAGACTATAGACTAGACTATAGACGAGACTATAACTAGACTATAGACTAGACTATAGACTAGACTATAGACTAGACTATAGACTAGACTTTAGACTAGACTATAGACTAGACTATAGACTAGACTATAGACTAGACTTAGACTAGACTATAGACTAGACTATAGACTAGACTATAGACTAGACTATTAGACTAGACTATAGACTAGACTATAGACTAGACTATAGACTAGACTATAGACTAGACTATAGACTAGACTATAGACTAGACTATAGACTAGACTATAGACTAGACTATAGACTAGACTAGACTAGACTATAGACTAACTATAGACTAGACTATAGACTAGACTATAGACTAGACTATAGACTAGACTATAGACTAGACTATAGACTAGACTATAGACTAGACTATAGACTAGACTATAGACTAGACTAGACTATAGACTAGACTATAGACTAGACTAGACTAGACTAGACTAGACTAGACTAGACTAGACTATAGACTAGACTAGACTATAGACTAGACTATAGACTAGACTATAGACTAGACTATAGACTAGACTATAGACTAGACTATATACTAGACTATAGACTAGACTATAGACTAGACTATAGACTAGACTATAGACTAGACTATAGACTAGACTATAGACTAGACTATAGACCAGACTATCGACTAGACTATAGACCAGACTATAGACCAGACTATAGACCAGACTATAGACCAGACTATAGACTAGACTATAGACCAGACTATAGACCAGACTATAGACCAGACTATAGACCAGACTATAGACCAGACCATAGACCAGACTATAGACTAGACTATAGACCAGACTATAGACTAGACTATAGACTAGACTATAGACTAGAATATAGACTAGACTATAGACTAGACTATAGACCAGACTATAGACTGGACTATAGATTAGACTATAGATTAGACTATAGACTAGATTTTAGACTAGACTATAGACTAGACTATAGACTAGACTATAGACTAGACTATAGACTAGACTATAGACTAGACTATAGACTAGACTATAGACTAGACTATAGGCTAGACTATAGTCCTGACTATAGACTAGACTATAGTGTAGGCTATAGGCTAGACTATGGTCCAGACTATAGGCTAGACTATAGGCTAGACTATGGTCCAGACTATAGGCAAGACTATGGTCCAAACTATAGGCTAAGCATTACGACGATAGTACAGACTATAAACTGGACTTTAGTTCAGAATTGAATTAAAACTGATTTGGAACTTAAGTTGCAGTATTTGCTATAAAACTATTTCGCTTTTCCACTTTATATGGCTTTTTCGTTGTTGGCTTGGGTCTTTAGCTTAACTTAGCAGTAAAAAAGTTTTGAATTGTACCCGAAACTTTTCACAATTTGTTTAAAGTTTTTTTTTTTAACTTCATAAACTTTTGTCCCCCTACTACTTTGAAAAGGTTCATTGATACCAACAAAATTCCTTATGCCGAAGGATAATCATTTGTGGTTTTCTAAAAAAGGTAAAGAAGATGTGCATTACCTTTGTTAGTAAAAATTAAGAACCGAAAGTAAATTTAATAAAACTTTTTAAAATAAATTATAATTTCATTCCCTTTTTTACAGGCCGTTTACCGCATCAAACTTCTTTAAATTCAAGCGTTGACGTAGAAGATCGTAAGACCTTAAGAGAAGCCCTTTACCAGGGCATTTTCCATCGTCATCGAAGAACCATTTTTGCCGTAGGCAGTTTTCTACGCATGCTACGCAGTCGTAATTCACAATATAATACCATACGTAGCTCTTCAGAGGGCGAGGATATCGATGAGGTCGTCAGATAAAATACAATGTGTGAAGATAATGTTAAAAAAACGTAATATTTAAATAAGAAAAAACAGTGAAAATATTAATTATATATAAACTAAAATATAAAAAAAATTAATAATTAAGTTAATGTATTTTATAAAACCAACTAGTAGAAAAAAAAAAACTTTATAAATATTTGTATTAAAAGTAAAAGGAAGAAGAAAACGAAAAAGAAAAATAAGTGGGAACAAGTTCTAAGAATTCAATTAATAATAATTTCTTACTAAATTTAACAATACCCAAACAAGAAAAAACAGGTAAATTATTATGGTTTACAAAATTTAGTAGAAAAATGTCTATAGTTTTCTTTATTTTTAGTAGAATTAGCAAAAAAACACAAACAAAATATTAAAAATAAAACTACTAAAGGCTTGATTACTCAAACGTAAATCTACAAACGTAATATTACGTTAGACTAACGTATCTACTTAGTAGCTTTACATTTGTGTTGGTTGCTTTTAATTGGATTTTTTTTTAATATTTTATTGTTTTATTAGTAGTTTTATGTACTTATCTTTATAAAAAATTATATATTATAAATATTTAACCATTATTTTGTGATTAGAACAAGAAAAAAAGAACAATTCAGGTTTTTAAATTAGCATTCCATTTTGTTTTTTGTTGATATTTCTTAAAAATTTATATTATTTTGCACTTTTATTATAGAAATTTTTTATTAAATATATTTATTTATAAATAAAACTAACAATTACCAATAATTCTTTGTAATTTTTTAAAGAAATCTTAAAAAAATTAAAGTTTAAACAGGCACTGAAGGTTTGGTGTCAAAACAAATGTTAAAATGTCTATAACTTTTGAATTATAAATCAGATTTCTTTTAAATTTGGTAAATTAATAGAGGAGATTTTAAACTTTGATAATATTATGTAAAAAGTAGAAAAATTTATATACAGTTTTCTTTAAACTAAGACAACTTTTATTAATGGTAAAATGTCTCTAACTTCTAAAATATTGCTTAAATTTCTTTAAAATTTGCTAAATTAATAGAAGAGGAGTTAAACTTTTAAGATATTAAGTAAAAAGTTAAAACTTTTAAGCATAGTCATCTTTAAACTAAGACAAGGTGCGTCACCTCTAATGTAAAACTTTACAACTCTCGCTAATATACACTATTTTAGTTATAAACCAAATATATACTTATTATATATCAACTGAAAGGATATTTTGTCTAGTTTTCATTAATAATTAGCTAATTTAATTGAAAATTAGGCAAAAATTCTAAAAAAAATCGTGTTTAAATTGCCGGTAGTATCAAAATTCGTTTAAAACAAATTCCAGACTTTCGATGACTGCTATTAGTAGGGTGCAAAGCTAAAATGTTAAAAAATTATATTCAAATTATTTCTAAATTTGTGTACTTTCAGATAATATTAACTTTTATTTATCCTTCTTAATTAAATTTTGAGAAATATCAAAAAATATAAAGGCCTCTGTTCAAAATAACATACATAATTTGACTAATATTAAAAAAAAACGTATAAATTTTTGTGATTTTAACAAATAAAAACATTTGAAAGCATGATATATTGAAACACCTAAACCTCTTTTATTACTTAACCAAATTTCCAAGTAATCTGAACAATAATTTAGTAATAACTTATTAATAAACATTTGTTTACATCAATTCCACTGTGTCAAAAGCATTGTTTACATTTTTTGGTGTTACCGGATTACTACTACAGCTGTTGTTTACATTTTTCTTGAGCAATAAAAGTTGCCATATTATTATTAATTAAAAACAAACGTTTTTAAGAAGAATTAAAGATATTTGTTGAAAATTTAAGTTACATTAAGGATTATTTCGAAATTTATGTAAAAAACACCTCCCCCTAGTTTAACATTTAAAAGTGAAGTTATAAAAATCTTTATTTACGCCTCAAAATTGTGTGCAAAAAAGAAAAAAACTTTTGCTAATAGCATGTCTATCTACTACTTGAAGTCTTAACTAACTTTTCACTCTATACTTTTGGTTTTATTTTAGACTAAACAAAGAAGAAAAAAAAAAAAGAAAACTTTGTTCCAACAAACTTTTGTTTTTAGCATTTTTCTCCTACATTCAATAAATAAACCATGTGTAAATCAAAAAACGGACATTATTTGAAAATTATACATCAATCAAATGTTAAAAGACAAACAAAAGCAAAAAAACTTTTTAAACAAATATAAAAAGTTTTATAGGTAGAGGAGGTATTTTAAAGGGAAAACTATAAGAAATGTTTAAATGATTTATAGAAAATTAAATAAGTTAATAAATTTCATTAAAAAAGTTACTATTTAACTTTATTTCTTTACTAAACTTAAGATTTTTCTTCAAAATTTAGCATTTTCTGGTAGAAATCTTAAACACAGCTTAAATTACAAATTTCAAATTTTCTTTAAAAGATTTCAATTAATTTTTTACATTTCCAGTTTCTAGCTTGCTTTCTTTACAATTTTAAACCTTAACTAAACTTTCTTTTAATCTCTGTTTAACTTAGCCTTTAACTTAACGCCTAAATGCCCCAAATCCCCCAAAACAGGTTTCAACTACTTTTTTTTATTCTTAATTTTACCTAAAAATTAATAAAATACATATAAAAACATAAAATATATAAAAACTGTTCGAAAATTTTCAAAAGCTTAAAAAGAAATACAATATGGCATTTATATACAGAAATTTAAATATAAAAATTGTTGAAAATAAACGCTAAAATCATGGTAGATTTTATAAAATTTAATAAAAAATGTATTTAAAGTGAAATAATGTTATAAAAATAAGCTAAAATTTATTAAACTGTTTAGAGATAAGCATAAAAATATAAATTATTAGGGTGTGGCAGATTTAAATTAATTTTTTGGAATCTAAAGTATAGTCCAATCTATAAAACATCTACAGTTTAAATTATATATTATTATATAGTACAGACTATAGTCTAATGTGTGATCTTGACTATAGACTAATCTTTGATCTAGACTATAGACTAATTTAAAGTCCAGATTGTAGACTAATCTATAATCCAGAATATAGACTAATCTATAGTCCACATTATAGACTAATCTATAGTCCAGACTATAGGCTAATTTATAGTCCAGACTAGAGACTAATATATAGTCCAGACTATGGACTACTCTATAGTCCAGACTATAAACTAATCTATAGTCCAGACTATAAACTAATCTATAGTCCAAACTATAGACTAATCTATAGTCCAAACTATAGACTAATCTATAGACCAGACTAAAGACTAATCTATAGACCAGACTATAGACTAATCTATAGTCCAGACTATAAACTAATCTATAGCCCAGACTATAGACTAATCTATAGTCCAGACTATAGACTAATCTATAGACCAGACTAAAGACTAATCTATAGTCCAGACTATAGACTAATCTATAGACCAGACTATAGACTAAACTATAGTCCAGACTATAGACTATTCTATAGTGATAATATAGACTTATCTATAGTCCAGACTATAAACTAATCTATAGTCCAAACTATAGACTAATCTATAGACCAGACTATAGACTAAACTATAGTAAGACTATAGACTATTCTGTAGTCCAGACTATAGACTAATCTGTAGTCCAGACTATAGACTAATTTATAGTCCAGACTATAGACTAATCTGTAGTCCAGCCTATTCTAAAGTAAAGACTATACACCATTCCATAGTCTAATCTATAGTGTAGACTGTAGATCAATTCTAGATTATAGTGTATTTTTTTTTTAAATTTATATTTTTTTATGATTATTCTGTTTGAAAAAATGTTTTGACAATTACTTTACATCTATATTTGTCGTTGGAACTTAGCAGCCACATTGCGGTTTTTACAAATTTCTCTTGATTTGCAATATTATTTACAGCACATTTGTATGTATATGTAGTTCTTTTATTATTAAACATTTATTACATTAATATATAGTAATATTATTGTATAAGCTTTATAATTACTTTAATTATTATCAAACATTTATAATTATCATTATTTGCAGTTTAATTTACTTTATTTTTTTGCACTAACCCATATGGCAATATTAATTTAAGTCTATTAACAATATGGCAATATCTACAGCTCTTACTTAATTAACTTTGTCACACCCTGTTAATGCAAACAAACCAGCTACAGCATGACTAACATATAAATAATAAAACATAAACAAACGTTACCCAGCCAAATTAAAAACAAATGCCCAATATTTATACAAACTAACTGAAACAAAGCCTTAATTTATGAAAAAAACCTAAACAAATTAAAGTAATTAAAAACCTTTAACGATATTAAATAAAAAGAAACCCAAAATTATACCATAAATATTAATAAATTTAAAAGAAAAAGGTAATATTTAAAAATAAAAAATATATAGAAAACGATATATATAAAACCATGTCTAAATTATTGATATATAAATAAACTGATATATAACAATCGCTATACAATAAAATCTACATAAATATATATGCATTACAAATATTTATACCTATTATTAATAATATTTTATAAAAATTAATTAATTTCTTTCCACTTTTTTTGTTTATAAAATTATAAGCTTTTTATTTAGTTTGTATTAAAGGTATATCATTTTATTTAATAAATTTGTAGAGAATTGAAAAATTAAATTAGTTTTAATAAAAATAATAAAGAAACTACTAATAAAGGAAAAGAAAATTATTAACAAAATAAATTAATGGTGTTTAAAAGGACTATATAGATGAGACTATAGACTAGACTTTGAACTAGACTATAGACTATAAACTAAAGTAGACTCAAGACTAGACTATAGACTAAACTATAGACTACGCAATAAACTACACTAAAGAAGAGACTATAGACTAAACTATAGACTAGACTAGGGTGTATGCTAGACTATAGACTGGACTATAGGCTAGGCTATAGACTAGACTAAGCTAAAGACTAGACTATAGTCTGGACTATAGACTAGACCAGACTGGACTATAGACTAAACTATAGTCAAAACTTCCATTTAAACTATGACTAGAACTGCAGGTTTGTATTAAAATAAAAAACAAAAAAATACATTAAATATTTACAAAAACAGACTTTAATAAAAATTTACAAATATTTACACATTAAAAATTATAAAAACAACAATAATACTTAAAATATACAAAATTTGCCATTTCCAAACAATTTAAAAAGTATAAAATTATAAAATCATTAAAGAAATATTCAAAAATTCCAGCCGGGAAAATAATGAATAAATCCATTTTTATAAATACTATTTATTCTTTTAAAGACGAAACCCCCTAAATAAATTCTGAGACCAATTTTGCCATAACTTCTGCATATTCACATACCAGTTGGGTAAAGCATGCATGGAAGGCGGTGGTGTTTGATCGGGCATATTAGGATCACTCTTAAAATTTAAATTTTAAAAAATTTAAATAAAAAACTTTTAGAATAAATTAAAAAAAAACTTACTGGTGGATCTGCCACTGCATATGTATCTTCTTCGACCGCTTTTTGTATAGTTCTACGTATTTCCTCGGCCTCTTCTAAGGCTCTGGGATTAACATAAACTGTAGGATCGGTGGGAGCTTCTTGGCCGATATTTAACCATGTAGGCTGTACCACTTGACGGGAAAAACGTGTTTCGTGTCGAACAGGGGTGGCGGGCACAAGTTCTACTTTGGTATCTGCCTTGTTAGGAATGACGGGCCAAGGCTGGAAAGATATTTAAGAGAAATTTAAAAAAAAGGAACATTTTATTTAAACTTGCTTAAAGAAAAACTTACCAATATAAAATCTATCCCGGTGGCTATGATTAACATGTATAAAATCATTTTATTACGGGTAAAATTCATATTTGTTTCATAAATAGATTTAGATGCTCCGTTTTTAATTTTTTCTATAATTTGCTTCTTTTTTATAAAAAAAAAAATAATTTACAGTTAGAGGCGAAAAAACCCTTTTTGATAGGGCTGTATTTTAGAGGCTCAAAAAAGTACTAAAGCTCAAAAGTTTGAAGCATGAAAAAGACATATTTTAAAGTATACAATAAAGTAAAATTTTTAATAAAAAACCAAAAAACTGTTTTAGATTTTTCAATACTAGTAGTGGCTAACTGTCAATAATTTTGCAGCATTTTTGTGTAGGCTTTATACATAAAACTTAATTTATAAAGTCGGCTATAGCTCAGCTTTTTTTTAGGCTAAATTATATTTAAATCGGCTTTTATGTATAGATATTATAGATATTTTTAAATTTTTTCCAATATCTACACTAACCGCATGCTTTATAAATAAAAACAACGGCGTCAAAATCGATTAATAGCAGTGTATTCCTTTCAGTAACACAAACTTGGCAGCACTTATCACTATACTTGACAACCGCATTGACAGTCGCGAAAATTTCTTTTTTATTTTTCTTAAGCCAAAAAATAAATTCAAACTAGAAAATCCAATGTCTAAATCGAAAAAAAACCACAAATCAAGTGATTCCGAATTGGAAACAAGTGATGATTCAACATCCAGCTCTTCAGACTCCACATCTTCGGAGGAAGAGCAAGATAAACGTGAAAAGAAAAAACGTAAACAAAAAGACAAGAAAAAGAAGAAGCACAAGAAAGTAAAAAGCGCAAAGAAAAAATCTTCCAAACATAATTCCGCAAGCGAAGATTCCTCAGATGAATCCGAGGACGAGTCCAAATCCTCAGAAGAAGAGGCTGTGGCAAAGAAAAAGATTAAGAAAGAAGAGGACAAATCGCCGGTTAGAGTAAAAAGAGAAAAATCTCGCAGTGGTGAGCGAGAAACGTATGGAAGAAATTCAAAATGGGAAAGTCCACCGCCGAGAAAAGGCAGAAGTCGCAGTAGAGAAAGACCAAGAAATGATAGAAGTCGCAGTCGGGAGAGACAAAGAAGCGACAGAAGTCGTAGCCGGGAGAGATATAGACCGGAAAGTGGTCGCAGTCATAACAGGGACAGATCGCCAGAATATAAACGCGAGAGAAATTCAGAACGTTATCAGCATTCTAATAAAGATTATCGCGGTGATATTAAAAGAGAGCGTGATGATAGAAGGGATTTTAGAGGCAGAGGAGATAGGGACCAGGATAGAAACTATGATCGAAGAGAGTAAGTGGTAAAAATAACAAATATGTATTTGTAAGACTCTAATTTCCTATATTTTCCTTTACAGCCGCAGTCCAAGACGAGAGAGAGAGCGTTCCCGGGAACGAGATCGAGATTATGTAAAACGTGAAACACGTTCTCCTAACCGTTCTAGAGGAGGAGGAAATCGTTTTAAAAATAAACGCCAAGAAGAAGATAGCAGTAACTACGAATGGGGTAAAGCTTCAGATAATAAAAAATCCGAAAAAGACCAAGAGCCCGAAACAAAAGAAAAGGAAAAACCTAATTTTGCTTTAAGTGGTGCCCTCACCGAAGACGCCAATAAAGTCAACGGTGTAGTAGTGAAGTATGCTGAACCTCCAGAGGCTCGTAAACCCAAGAGACGTTGGCGTTTATATCCCTTTAAAGGAGAAACTGCTTTGCCCGTACTACACATCCATCGCCAAAGTTGTTTTTTGGTGGGTCGTGATCGCAAAGTAGTCGATTTGGCTGTAGATCATCCCAGCTGCTCGAAACAACATGCTGCTCTTCAATATCGCCTAGTACCCTTCGAACGTGAAGATGGCACACAGGGAAAGCGAGTACGTTTGTATTTGATCGATTTGGATTCAGCCAATGGCACTTTCTTGAATAACAAACGTATTGATGCGCGTAAATATTATGAACTGATGGAAAAGGATGTGATAAAGTTTGGTTTTAGCACACGCGAGTATGTTTTACTGCACGAAAACAGTAAAGAGGATCAAGAGGATGATGATATTGAGGTTAAGGAAGAGCCTAAGGATGATTAAATTTAGATTTATTTTAAAAATATGATGCAAATACAAGTTATAATTATTAAAAAAAATTTGTTGTTTTTGGTGAAATTGAAGAAAAATTTGCATGGTTGCAATGAGTTGTAGAGTAGATTAGAATGTCTTGTGCGACGAGGATTATGAATAACATGACCAGGATCAGACAAATCTTGATTTTTCGAAGCGGACATTTAAAGAATTCTCAATGTAAATGAGCAATTTATTTTTTTTTTTTTTTTTTTCAATAAAAATGTATTTTTTTTTGGGGTAAAGGTAAATATGGGCCTAACCTCATTCAGTACGAGATTTTACGTACGTGATGTGTGTTGGCTTTACTACATATTGCATTTAGAATCTAAACTTTACGCATGGTAATCTCGTAATTACTTGTAGTATAATGTAAAAGGGTCTTAACTAACTAGCCGGCTTAAGCGACATGGCTACACATCAAATTTGTTGACTCAAACGGTAAGTTTTTTTACTAAGTGTCGGTTCACACAGGAAAACTTTTGATTTTGTGTGTGAGAAAAAGAGTGAGAAAAGTTACCCAAGAATGTTTCCTGTGTGAACCGGCACTAACACAATCGAAAAACTTGCCGTTTGAGTTAACAAATTTGATGTGTCGCCAAGGCGTTTAAATTTTAAAAGTCAATTTTAAGTCGCCGCCACATTTTTAGTGTGAGCCATCGCCGTCGTTAATATTTGTTGACGCAGGGCTTTGCTATACACAAACCGCAAAATAAGCATAAAAATTACATTGTTTTTAAGATTGCGAAAATTGATTATTTTGTTTAGAAAAATACATAAAGCGATTGGTAAGCTGTACTTGTAAAGCTATTACAACAAGTTTGTGAAATATTTCAGTTGTATATAGCCCTCCTAAAGAAGTCTTTGTTCCCTTAGATTTTTGTTCTTACAACTCAATAAAAGACACACAAGTCCCGTTAGAGTTTATAATCCTGTTAGAAATGCCACCAAAAAAGAAAACTGTAGCCAATGGTTTTATGAATTTCACCTTTGAATGGAAGTCCAAATATGGAAGAAATTTGACATTGACAGAGGCCACCCAAGAGGCGGGCAAAGTATGGGCGGTAAGTTTTTAGATTCAAAGTTTTAATGTTATCTTGGATGCTAAGTGATATTTCCCTCCATCCAACAGACCATGCCTCCAGAGGAACGTGCTGCTTATAAGGAAAAGGCCAAAGAGCAGAAGATTATTTTGAAATCTAGTAAAAATGTTGAAAAGTTAACTTGCACCGGCACACCGGTTGCCTTTATGGAAAGAGAAAAACAAGATTTGGAAAATAAGGAGCGACAAATGAAACGTGATATTGAGAGTACCGTGAGTCGGAGTGTTAAAAATGATGGTGAGTAAGGAATATAAACAGGAAACTGGTTAATTTGTATAATAAAGGGAGGAGAAAATGTTTTTTTTTTACTAAAAGTTTTAAAGATTTTGCAAAATTCTAAAACTGTCTAAAGTATAGCTTCAGAAATCTTTGGGACGAAACAAACAGATGCTAAAATAGATAATATTTTGTTGTAAGGAGGCTCTCTCGAACTTGATAAAATACTCTTTAATAAAATTTAAGGCAGTTTGAGTTCAAAAAGTTGGACTTCAAAGTTCTATTTTTGTGCCATCTACTATATTTTTGTTGGATTTCGTACAAAATATTGATTTAATGGCAAAATTTTGTTAAATTTTTAGTAAAAAAACATTTTTTACCGATTTTTAAAAAGTAGTATTTTAGTACTTTTTTTTAAAAAAGTTTGTGAAATAACTTTTTCGCTAAATTTGAATTTAATTTGCAATAATTTATTAAGAAATAAGAAAATGTTTATGATTTTACAATTTAAAATAGTAGTATTTTAAGTACTTTTTAAATTTAACTTGGGCATTTTTGCTTGTTTAAGCAAACTAACGTTAATAAATCATGTAATATTAAATTCAAGAGATTTTTTAAAAAGTAGTATTTTAGTACTTTTTTTTTGAAAATTTTTAGAAAAATTCCCTTTTTTCAAAATTTTACTACAAATTTTATGTTATTGAATGAAATTGTTAGAAATGTTACAAAAATTAAGAAAATTATGATTTTTCTAACAATTTAAATAGTAGTATTTTTAGTACTTTTTGAAATTTAACAAAATAATTGCAAAATTTTATGTTTTTAAGGAAATGAAGTTTTAAAAATCATAAAATTTTAAATTTAGGACATTTTTTAAAAAAGTAGTATTTTAGTACTTTTTGGAAAATAACACTTTTTGCATATATTTTATATAAATATGTTGTTTTAAAATAAAATTTTTAGAAAAATTACTAAAATTATCAAAATGATGACTTTTTTCTAAGAATTTAAAAAAGTAGTATTTTTAGTACTTTTTCAAAATCTCTCAAAATTTAAAATTTTTAATTTTTTATGCAAATATTGTTAAAAAATTATACAATTTTGAATTTAATATATATTTAAAAAAGTAGTATTTTAGTACATACATTTTTTGGAAAATTTTTAGTATTTTTTTTTTTAATTTAAAAAAAGTTAAAATTTGTATCTTTTTCAGCAATTAAAGTATGAAATATCATAGAATTTTAAATTTAAGACATTTTTCAAAAAGTAGTATTTTAGTACTTTTTTTTTGGAAAATTTCAGAAAAAATTAGTATTTTGCATAAAATTTATATAAATTTGATGCAATTAAATAAAATTAACAAAATGGTGAACATTTTCTAACAATTTAAAAAAGTAGTATTTTTAGTACTTTTTCAAAATCTAAGAAAAATTTGAAAATTTTTAATTTTTTTCTTGTAAATATTGTTTAAAAATCATAAAATTTTAAATTTAGGACATTTTTAAAAAAGTAGTATTTTAGTACTTTTTTGAACATTTTGTAAAAAATTCCTTTTTTGTATACTTTTTTTTAGTATTTTTTTTTTTTTTTTTGAATTTAAAAAAAGTTAAAATTTGTATCTTTTTAGCAATTAAAGTATGAAATATCATAAAATTTTAATTTTAAGACATTTTTGAAAAAGTAGTATTTTAGTACTTTTTTATTTTGGAAAATTTTAGAAAAATTTAGTATTTTGCATAAAATTTATATAAATTTGATGCAATTAAATGAAATTAACAAAATGGTGAACATTTTTTAACAATTTAAAAAAGTAGTATTTTTAGTACTTTTTCAAAATCTAAGAAAAATTTGAAAATTTTTAATTTTTTTCTTGTAAATATTGTTTAGAAATCATAAAATTTTAAATTTAGGACATTTTTAAAAAAGTAGTATTTGTAAAAAATTCCTTTTTTGTATACTTTTCATTACTAATATTGGATTTTTACTTTATTTCAGAACTGGAATTAAAATCCTATTACTTCATAATGGTTAACTATTTCACAAAAACCCTTAAGGGTGGTGTTTATGTACCTGCTGAGCTGTCTGTTTGTGAATATTCCCTAAAAGATGGTGTTAAACGCATGTACCAAACCCTTATTAATCCAGGTTGGTATTGTAATTGAATCTTAATATCAGTTTTAAAATAAAATATCTTTTCGGCATTAAGGTGTCAACATTTATGGCCATCAATATGAGGCACAACATCATTCGGATACCACACACAATCTTCCCTTGCCTCCCAATGCCTTGGGTGAAAAGAATTTAGGTAGTATTTATAATGATATTTTAAATTTCATACGCGATGAGGAAACCAACGACTATCCTCCACTCTACACCCATCGTGATGGTATACATATTGTGGAATCTGTATTGGAATTTCTTAAAGCTGACGTGGGAGCAAATAATATTGATTTAAAGATTTATCCCATACAATATCTATTCTTTATCATGAAAGAAGCCACCTGTGAGGTGGGTGAATTGGAGAAACCAAAAAGTTTTTACATAACTGATGCCTTTTTTGAACGTGATTTCTTTGAATATCAAATTGGTATTGCTTGTCAGGTGAGTTAAGGATTTTTTTTTTTAATTTTATAATTTATATTTTTTTTTTTTGGAGGTAAAGCAATTAATTTTATTTTCAATAAATTTGTAAGCAGTGTTGTTAATCAAGTTTATCAGGAGTTAGTTGTAATGTAGGCTTATAAACAAGGTCCGTATTGTTGGATCCTTGTATATAAATAGTTGTGCTCTCCTTTAGGAATATCTCAAATTTTGAGCTATTGTATTTTTAGATTACTAGAATTGTAAATAAGGTACGAGCGCATTGACGTATCATTGTCTATATATATTTGTGTTAATCTAGTACCTAATCATTAGGCGTTATATAGAAATCTATGTTCTTTCACTTTTTCCATTTGAAATTTATAATTCTCCCTTTTTCTCTTTTTCCCACTTTTAGTACCACGAAGAAATCGACAAAAGTAAATACTGTACTCAATCGTACGTGACACGTTGGGGTTATATGTTCTCGGATTATATGTGTCGTGATATTGCCATACCTTTGATACAGGGACGTCATTGTCCTCAAAATACCAATTTACATGCCATCATAACACCAGCACCCAGTACTTGCCCGGACAATACTTCTTATATATCCATGGGTACCACTTCATCGTATGCCACCAAAGCAGTGGCTGGTTCGAAAATTTACTACGAAGATCAAAAATCTGCCATATCTGATGGTGAAAATAAAAACTATGTTAATAACTTTCCCGCCTTGGGTGGAGCTCGCAAAAAGGTGCCCAATGCTAGCAGCTCCGTTACACCAAAACATTTCAAAAAGTGCTCTGCTACAGATGTGGTAGTGGAAGATGATTGTAAGAACCTTAACCCCTGGACTTCACGTTCACGCAATGTACCGCGTGAACCTGATACTACACACTTTACCATTGATTATACGCGTGATGAATCGGATTTTGATGATTTTAATTCGGTGGCTAGCTTTGGTCGTGGACGTGGCTCTTACATTAGCACCACATTGAATTCTTCAAATACTACTACCGCTTCGGGACGTGGACGTTTTATACGTCAGTAAGATTTAAGTTAAGGATTTTTTTTAAACATTTATCTAAAGTGTTGCTACAATACTTGAAAGCTTTAATTCATAATCCCGTTTTTATAACTCCATTTTTTTATTATTTAATAAGTTTTGAAATGCCTGAAGAGTGTTTATTTTCGGTTTTTTTGATAGTTCATAGTTTATCTCTTTTTAATGGTCTTAACTCAATTGGTTTTTGTAGGACCTTAAAGAATATGTAATAATAATAAAAATACAAATATTTTTGGAAATGAAAATAATCTGAGTTTTAATTCTGAAATTAGTAAAGATTCGGCAGGTCCTATAGTCGTAACTATAGCACAGACTCTATTCTATATTTCAGACTGTAGTCCACTCTATAGACTATATATCTAATAGCTTAAGTCCTTAGCTTTCATGTGACATAACTTTCTTTGCAATACATCAAATATTTCTCGAGCTATAAGGTTCCAAACTTTGTGCGAACAATGCCATAAACAGCCAGTAATGTCTTCAAATCAGTTTTCGAATCTAATAGCTTAAGTCCTTAGCTTTCATGTGACATAACTTTGTTTGCAATACATCTAATATTTCTCGAGTTATAAGGTTCCAAACTTTGTGCGAACAATGTCATTAACAGCCAGTCATGTCTTCAAAACAGTTTTCGAATTTGTTCAATATTTCGAGGGATTTTTAAAATTTTCTTATAAAACTTGGCACATTCATAAAATGAAATATTATGATTCCTACAAGCTATCATACAACTCCCTATGTCCATTATGAACTGAGTTATAAGCGTCTTAACTATAAATACCATTTTTTAACTCGATTGCCATAAAGCCTAGCGGGCCAAAGGTTGCCCATCTTGTAGCCAAATTTCCAATCTATCACATGGTGAAACAATCACTTAAATACCTTTAGTAGTTTTCTAGATATATCAATTTAAAGAAAATACTGTGCGAGAATTCACCTACTACCAGGTTCTGGTGACCTGGTGTTTTACAAAATTTTGGAAATTTCATTTTTCATCACTTTTGGGGGTTAATGATACTTTTCGATTTTCGGTCATAACTGGCTTGTTCTTTAAGATAATTCAATGAATTTTTGCATGCGGATTAAGTAGAATGTGGGTCACATTTTTCAAAAAAATAAAAAGTTGCCACGCCCACTGGTCGGGCTGAAAAATGGGCGTAAACATGTATATGCTATTTTCAATAACTTGGACTTATTATTTTGCAAATTTAATTTACCCAACTAATAGTTGAAATCCTTAGCTTTCATTTGATATAACTTTCTTGGCAATACAACAAACATTTCCCGAGTTATAAGGTTCCAAACTTTGGTAGAACAATGCCAAAAGAAGCCAGTTGTGTCCTTAAAGAACGACCAGGATTTCTGTAATATCTCGTATGTTCTTTAGGATAATTTAATGAAATTTTGTATGTGGATATAGAACGAAATGGGTAACTTTTTACAATAAATAAAAAACTGGCCACGCCCACTATGCGGCATGAAAAATGGGCGTAAACATATATCTGCTATTTTCAACAACTTTGACACAAATTTTGGCAAAAAGGCTCCAAACTTTGATGGAACAATGCCAAAAACTAACAGTCCAGACAATAGTCTATAGTCCAGACTATAGTCTAGTCTATAGTCTGGATTATATATTAGGTTATTGTTTGGCTACAGACTAGATAATAGTCTGGCCTATAGACTAGACTATAGTCTGGCCTATAGACTAGACTATGCTCGGATGCTTTTTAAGATAATTTAATGAAATTTTGTGTGTGGATATAGAACGAAATGGGTAACTTTTTTACAATAAATAAAAAACTGGCCACGCCCACTATGTGGCATGAAAAAGGGGCGTAAACATACATATATCTGCTATTTTCAACAACTTTGACACAAATTTTGGCAAAAAGGCTCCAAACTTTGATGGAACAATGCCAAAAACTAACAGTCCAGACAATAGTCTATAGTCCAGACTATAGTCAAGTCTATAGTTCAGACTATAGTCTAGTCTATAGTTCAGACTATAGTCTAGTCTATAGTCCAGACTATAGTCTAGTCTATAGTCTGGATTATATATTAGGTTATTGTTTGGACTACAGACTGGAATATACTCTGGGCTATAGACTAGTCTGGCCTATAGACTAGACTACAGTCTGGCCTATAGACTAGACTACAGTCTGGTCTATAGACTAGACTAGACTACAGTCTGGTCTATAGACTAGACTATAGACAGACTGGAATATACTCTGGGCTATAGACTAGACTATAGTCTGGCCTATAGACTAGACTATAGTCTGGTCTATAGACTAGACTACAGTCTGGCCTATAGACTAGACTACAGTCTGGTCTATAGACTAGACTATAGTCTGGACTATAGACTAGACTATAGTCTGGCCAATAGACTAGACTATAGTCTGGCCAATAGACTAGACTATAGTCTGGCCTATAGACTAGTCTATAGTCTGGCCTATAGACTAGTCTATAGTCTGGCCTATAGACTAGTCTATAGTCTGGCCTATAGACTAGTCTATAGTCTGGCCTATAGACTAGTCTATAGTCTGGCCTATAGACTAGTCTATAGTCTGGCCTATAGACTAGTCTATAGTCTGGCCTATAGACTAGTCTATAGTCTGGCCTATAGACTAGTCTATAGTCTGGCCTATAGACTAGTCTATAGTCTGGCCTATAGACTAGTCTATAGTCTGGCCTAGACTAGTAGTCTGGCCTATAGACTAGTCTATAGTCTGGCCTATAGACTAGTCTATAGTCTGGCCTATAGACTAGTCTATAGTCTGGCCTATAGACTAGTCTAGTCTGGCCTATAGACTAGTCTATAGTCTGGCCTATAGACTAGTCTATAGTCTGGCCTATAGATTAGTCTATAGTCTGGCCTATAGACTAGTTTATTGTCTGGCCTATAGACTAGTCTATAGGCCAGACTATAGACTATTGTCTGATCTGTAGTTAAGACTATAGTCTAATCCATAATCCATTCTGCAGTCTAGTCTATACTCCACACTATAGTATATTCTATACTCCATACTATAGTCTACTCTATAGTCCAGAGCAAGGTCTATTCCATAGTCTTTTTAAACTTTAAATACATCTTCAATTAAACTATTTTAACTTTTTTTTTTGTTTTTCTTAAATGTTTTATTAGAATGTACAATAAATAAATTGTGTGTGTGTGTATTCTTTTCTTTTTGTCACAAACCGTGGATAATAAAAACATGTAGTTTTTTTTTTTTGTTTTTTACTTCGGTTTTGTTTAGGTTAAAAATTTAATTACTTTCGGTTTTGTTTTTTTGTGGTATTCTTAAATTAAAATATATAGATTTACTTTAGCATTATATTTATACAAATTTAAATTAAACACAAAATTAAATATAATTTAGAAAATTATCAAAATAATAAACAATGATTTTTGAAACAGGCGACAATTACAATAAAATTAGCAATAAAATTTTTAAAGGACAGCTTAATATAATTAAAGATTTTGATTTGAAATAAAACTTAAAATTAAACAAATAATTTATACATTTATAAAATGTTTTAGTAGGAAATTTTATAGGTTATCTAAGGAAAGTCATTAGTTGTTATATAAGTATTGGTTTTAAACTAATGACATTAAGCTGACTGGGCAGCTTAACCTTTTTCCTACTGCATCATAATTTTATTTAAAAGCAAAAATAATACTATATTTGTTTAAAAATTTATACATTAAATAGAATGCTTTTTTTTTGTTTAATTTGTTTAATACTATAGATAATTGTTTCTTTTCTTAAATATTGTTCTGGTATTGTTTTGTCATTTAAAAAGTTAATCTCTGTTTTAGGTTTAAACTTTTTTTTTTTTAAATTTAATTTTTGGTTTAATTATTGTAAGGAAAGTTTTTTTAAAAGAAATTTTGTTTTATTGAGTTTTGGTTTTCTTTAAAACAGTCTTATAAGTTGATATGTTACTAAAATAAAAATACTTAATTTAAGAATTTTTTAATAATGTACGTTAATTTTTAGTTTTGTTTTGTGGTTTGAAAATTATAACAATTTTATTTAGAGCAACATATTAATTTATGACACTGTTGTTAAAAAAAAAAATTAATGATTGACTTTGAGTGAAAGTTTTGTAGGTTTTTTTTTAAATCTCTAAAAGGAATTTTAAAGTCGTTATGACACGACTTTTTATTATATAAAATAAACTACACCTAATAAATAAATTTGAAATAGTCAGTTTAATTTAAAATATTTAAAAAAAAGAAATTGGTCTTTTGTAATGTCTGTTAAAATTCAATTTACGTCAATTTCTCAAGAAGTCTATTAAAACAGACAAAAATATTCTTTGATTTGAACTATGTAGGTAAAATGGAATGAACTCTGTATAATGGTTTAAATATGTTTTGATTTTGTTATTAACATAGTCTCGATCATCTACTAAAGTCTGAACTATAGTTTAATATATTCGATAATCTAAACTTTAGTCTATTCTTAAGTTTAGACTTTAATTCTTAAGTTCAGATTAGTATTCTAAAGTCAAACTATAATCTATTCCATAATCCAGACACTAGTCTACTCTATAATTTAGATTACAGACTATTCTATAGTCTAGACTATAATCTATTCTATAATTCAGACCCTAGTCTTGTCTATTCTATAGACGAAACTGTGATCAATTCTGTAGCCTATATTAAAGTCTAGATTGTAGTCTATTCTATAATCCAGACTCTAGTTTACTCTATAGTATAGATCCTAATATTCTATAGTACAGACTCTAATCTATTCTATAGTTCAGACTCGAATCTATTCTATAGTCTAGACTTCTATAGTCTTGATACTAGTCTTTTCTATAGTCCAGATCATAGTCTATTCTATAGTCCACACTTTAGTCTATACTATAGTCTAGACTTCAGACTATTCTATACTCTAGATTGTAGTCTTTTCTATAGTCCAGACTCTAGTCTATTCTATAGTCCAGAATATAGTAAATTCTATAGTTCAGACTCTAGTCTATTCTATAGTTCAGACTCAAGTCTATTCTATAGTTCAGACTCAAGTCTATTCTATAGTTCAGACTCAAGTCTATTCTATAGTCCTGGTACTAGTCTATTGTATAGTTCAGACTCTTGTATATTCTATAGTACAGATTCTAGTCTATTTTATAGCCCAAACTCTAGTCTATTCTATAGGCTAGACTTTATTCTATTCTATAGTCCAGATTATATAGTCTTTTCTACAGTCAGGACTATAGTCTATTCTATAGTCCAGACTCTAGTCTATGCTATAGTTCAGACTCTAGTCTATTCTATAGTCTAGATTCTAATCTATTTTATAGTCTACACTTTAGTCTATTCTATAATTTAGACTGTAATCTATATTTCTATTCTATAGTACAAACTCTAGCCCAATCTATAGTCCTGATATTAGTCTATTCTATAGTTCTGTCTCTAGTCTGCTCAGTAGTCCGGACTATATTTTATTCTATATTCAACACTTTACTCTAATCTCTCTAATCTATTCTATAGTCTGGACTTTAGACTATTCTATAGTTCAGACTCTAGTATATTCTATAGTCCTGGTACTAGTCTATTCTATAGTTCAGACTCTAGTATATTCTATAGTACAGATTCTAGTCTACTCTATAGTCCATAATCTAGTCTATTCTATAGGCTAGACTGTAGTCTATTCTATAGTCCAGACTAAAGTCTTTTCTACAGTCAGGACTCTAGTCTATTCTATAGTCTAGAATCTAGCTTATTTTATAGTCCAGACTCTCGTCTAGACTGAAGTATATACTACAGTCTAGACTCTAGTTTATTCAATAGCCCAGACTCTTGTCTAGAATGTAGTCTATACTATAGTCTAGACTCTAGTCTATCCTGTAGTCTGAATTCTAGTCTAATCTATAGTTCAGGCTCTAACATATTCTATAGTCTAGACTTTAGTCTATTCTATAGTTTAGATTCTAGTCTATTCTATAGTACAGACTCTAGTTTATTCTATAACCCACATTTTAAACTATATTATAATCTTGACTCTAGTTTATTCTATAGTCCAGACTCTAGTCTATTACATAGTCCAGACTCTAGTCTATTCCATAGTTCAGACTTTAGTATATTCTATAGTCCAGAATTTAGGCTATTCTAAAATCTATATAATGATCTCGACTCTAGCCTATATATAAATATTTATTGTTAAAAAGATTGTCAGTTTGATAAAAAGTTGTTGGAAACATTTATGGCTTAAAAGAAAATCTATTTGATATTATTCTATTTTTTGCAACATGTGATCTTAAACCCGTCAAAATTTTTAGGCCTATTTAAAAAAAAACAAATACGTCATTAACCTGCCTGTCCCCTCGGTGTAGCTTAATTTATTAAAGTAACTTGTGTAAGTTTTATGGGAATTTCTTAATGCACTAAAGCTTGAGTCTTTGTTATAACCGGGTCCTTAAAATCTGTTAACGCCTCTTCTTTATCGGCTGCTGTTAATGTCGTTGCACCTGTTTCTGTATTATTTACAATATCTTCCGCTTGACTTGTGTCACTATGCGAAGTTTTCAAACTAAAATCACAACTTAATGAATTTGTAGCCTTTGCGGCTGAATTTGTTAGCATATCCGCTGATCCGGTCAGCAGTGCTGTGGATGAATTTGCTATTGTTTGTTTAACGGGAGTGGTTTCTATGGTGGATTTTTTTGGTTTTGTTATGGCATTTGCTGCATAACGTTGCAGCACCTCATTTGATGTTTGTTTGAAAGTTTCCTGCATTACTTTGTGTACCTTTTCCATTAGTTCGGGTAAATCATCTTTGGTTAGTCCTTCGGTAGATATTGGCGGTAGAGTGGTTAAAATTATATTACCAGCATTCAGAATTTTCTTTTTATCATTGAGGAAACTACAATATGAGCTAAAGACCACGGGCATTATGGGTATTTGTTCATCGATGGCCATGTGAAAGGCGCCCTTTTTGAAGGGGTGTATATCGCCGGTATTGCGTCGTGTTCCCTCGGGAAATACCCAGAGTTTGATTTTCTGTTTCTTAATTTTACTATTGACTTGATTTAAGGTATCACGAGCTTTTTCGCCACGCACACGATCGATGAAAATGAGACCAGCTAACCAGGCGGCCAAACCAAAGGGCCAGGCATAGAATAGTTCACGTTTAGCCACCACTGTACATTTGTCCATAACGTGCCAAATGTTGAACATGCCTAGAAAAGAAGTCGAAGGACATTTTTAATGGAACTAAATTAATAAAGTTACACTAGAGTCCAGACTATAGAACAAATTAAGGTCTGAACTATAGCTTAGACTTCATTTACAACCACTTACCTAAAACATCCAACGAGGACTGATGATTTGCCACAATTATACAAGCACGATCCTTTTCTAAATGTTCTTTGCCTCTTAGCTCCCATCTCAGGCCAATTAGAGTTGTTATTCGATGACAAAAAGTACTGGCCCAACTGTAATTGAAATAAAAAAATAAGAAATCATTAGAAATTCTATTTAATTTTAAACTATTTTCACTTTTCTATAAATTTTTTTTCTAAAATTATCAACTTTTCTTTGACTTTTAACCCCTTTTCAATACTCCCACTCCCCCAAAGGAATTACATAATTAAATTGTTATAAATATCTGAACATGTTAACAGTTATTTTCATGTTATTTGTATTTAATAACAAGAAAAGTTATAAATATAGAATGATTGAATAGAAAAAAGAAAAGGAAAAAAACGAACGGTAATCAATTTGACAATCAATAACTTTATTAATGTTAAATGTCATTATTACTAAATGACTTTAATAAATAGTTAATAATTCTCAAAAGGATTTGTTTGGAAAACAAAAATCAAACTAGGTTTATAATTGTGGATAAAACAGTTCTTATTATAGTGACTTTGTTAAGTATAAAAGTATATAATAGGGACTATAGTTTAATTAATAGTCCAGAACTTAAATTACTCTATAGTACAGTTTTTATAAAAGGATATAATAGAGACTATAATCTACTTTGTAGAACAGACTTTAAATTGCTCTATAGTACAGACTATAGTCTACTCTATAGTCCAGACTATAGTCTAATCTATAGTCCAGACTGTAGTCTAATCTATAGTTCACACTATAGTCTACTCTATAGTCCAGACTATAGTCTACTCTATAGTCCAGACAATAGTTCACTCTATAGTCCAGACTATAGTCTACTCTATAGTCCAGACTATAGTCTACTCTATAGTCCAGAATGTAGTCTAATCCATAGTCCAGACTATAGTCTAATCTATAGTCCAGACTATTGTCTACTCTATACTCTAGACTATAGTCTACTCTATAGTCCAGACTATTGTCTACTCTATACTCCAGACTATAGTCTACTCTTTAGTCCAGACTATAGTCTAATCTATACTGCAGACTATAGTCTACTCTACAGTCCAGACTATAGTCTACTCTATAGTACAGACTATAGTCTACTCTATAGTCCAGACAATAGTCCACTCTATAGTTCGGACTATAGTCTACTCTATAGTTCAGACTATAGTCTACTCTATAGTCTAGACTATAGTCTACTCTATAGTCTTGACTATAGTCTACTCTATAGTCTAGACTATAGTCTACTCTATAGTCCAGAATGTAGTCTAATCTACAGTCCAGACTCTAATCTATAGTCCAGACTATAGTCTAATCTATAGTCCAGACTATTGTCTACCCTATACTCCTAATCTCTAATCTTGAGTCTACTCTATAGTCCAGATTATAGCCTACTCTATTGTCCATACTATAGCCTTCTTTATAGTCTAGATTATAGTCTACTCTATAGTCCAAACTATAGTCTACTTTATAGTCCAAACTATAGTCTAGACTATAGTCTACACTATAGGGAAAAATATAGTCTACTCTATAGTCTAGATTATAAGCTACTCTATAGTCCAGGCAATAGTCTACTCTATAGTCCAGACTATAGTCTACTCTATAGTCCAGAATATAGTCCACTCTATAGTCCAGACTATTGTCTAATCTATAGTCCAGAGTATAGTTTACTCTATAGTCCAGAGTATAGTCTACTCTATAGTCCAGACTATAGTCTACTCTATAGTCCAGACTATAGTCTAATTTATAGTCCAGACTATAGTCTACTCTATAGTCCAGACAATAGTCCACTCTATAGTCCAGACTATTGTCTAATCTATAGTCCAGAGTATAGTCCAGAGTATAGTCTACTCTATAGTCCAGACTATAGTCTACTCTATAGTTCAGACTATAGTCTACTCTATAGTCCAGACTATAGTCTACTCTATAGTCCAGACTATAGTCTAATCTATAGTTCAGACTATAGTCCACTCTGTAGTCCAGACTATAGTCTACTCTGTAGTCCAGACTATAGTCTACTCTATAATCCACACTATAGTCTACTCTATAGTCCAGACTATAGTCTAATCTATAGTTCAGACTATAGTCTACTCTATAGTCCAGACTATAGTCTACTCTATAGTCCAGACTATAGTCTACCCTATAGTCCAGACTATAGTCTACCCTATAGTCCAGACTATAGTCTACCCTATAGTCCAGACTATAGTCTACCCTATAGTCCAGACTATAGTCTAATCTGTAGTCTAGACTATAGTCTACGCCATAGTCCAGACTATAATCTACTCCACAGTCCAGACTATAATCTACTCTATAGTACAGACTATAGTCTACTCTATAGTCCAGACTATAGTCTACTCAATAGTCCAGACTATAGTCTACTCTATAGTACAGAGTATAGTCTACTCTATAGTCCAGACTATAGTCTAATCTATAGTCCAGACTATAGTCTACTCTATAGTCCAGACTATAGTCTACTCTATAGTCCAGATTATAGTCTACTCTATAGTCCACACTATAGTCTACTCTACAGTCCACACTATAGTCTACTCTATAGTACAGACTATAGTCTACTCTATAGTCCAGAGTATAGTCTACTCTATAGTCCAGACTATAGTCTACTCTATAGTCCAGACAATAGTCCAGACTATAGTCTACTCTGTAGACCAGACTATAGTCTACTCTGTAGACCAGACTATAGTCTACTCTATAGTCCAAACTATAGTCTACTCTATAGTCTAGACTATAGTCTACTCTATAGTCCAGAATATAGCCTACTCCATAGTACCGACTATAGTCTATTAACCAATAGTACTTCTTATCGTCATTTAATTTTTACCAATTCGCTTTTAAGAAAATTAAAATAAATTAATTTTGTTTAAAAAAATGTTATCTTTGAAGTACCCAGCAATTGAAATAATATTTGATATAAAAATATTGGGTTTTAAATAAATTAAAGAAGAGTTCTTAATACAAAATTTACTCAAGGGGTTTTCTATATGTGAATGATAAAAAACGTTTATAATAAGTATTATGGAAATATACGTTGGTTTCTTGATTATCTCTAGAGTACTTCAAATTTAATTTACGATAACATTAAAAGGGAAATAATTTAAATTAGATGTATATAAATGTTAGAATAATAAATCGAATAAATATAGTAGAAAAATGTCAGCGTTAAACCATAGCGCCAGCGTTTCAATTGTGTTTCTTGAGTGCTCAAATATTGCCAACCTTTAAACATGATTAATTGGCATCACTATATGTCAAATGCAAAACAAGAGATTTTGAGATATAGACTAGACTATAGACTAGACTATAGACTAGACTATAGACTAGACTATAGACTAGACTATAGACTAGATTATAGACTAGACTATAGACTAGACCATAGACTAGACTATAGACTAGACTATAGACTAGACTATAGTCTAGTCTAGTCTGTAGTCTAGTCTAGACTAGACTATAGACTAGACTATAGACTAGACTATAGACTAGACTATAGACTAGACTATAGAGCAGACTATAGACTAGACTATAGACTAGACTATAGACTAGACTATAGACTAGACTATAGACTAGCCTATAGACTAGACTATAGACTAGACTATAGACTAGACTATAGACTAGCCTATAGACTAGACTATAGACTAGACTATAGACTAGACTATAGACTAGACTATAGACTAGACTATAGACTAGACTATAGACTAGACTATAGACTAGACTATAGACTAGACTATAGACTAGACTATAGACTAGACTATAGACTAGACTATAGACTAGACTATAGACTAGACTATAGACTAGCTAGACTAGACTATAGACTAGACTATAGACTAGACTATAGACTAGACTATAGACTAGACTATAGACTAGACTATAGACTAGACTATAGACTAGACTATAGACTAGACTATAGACTAGACTATAGACTAGACTATAGACTAGACTATAGACTAGACTATAGACTAGACTATAGACTAGACTATAGACTAGACTATAGACTAGACTATAGACTAGACTATAGACTAGACTATAGACTAGACTATAGACTAGACTATAGACTAGACTATAGACTAGACTATAGGACTAGACTATAGACTAGACTAGACTAGACTATAGACTAGACTATAGACTAGACTATAGACCTAGACTATAGACTAGACTATAGACTAGACTATAGACTAGACTATAGACTAGACTATAGACTAGACTAGACTATAGACTATAGACTAGACTATAGACTAGACTATAGACTAGACTATTAGACTTAACTATAGACTAGACTAATAGACTATAGACTAGAATAGACTAGACTAGACTATAGACTAGACTATAGACGAGACTATAATACTAGACTATAGACTAGACTATAGACTAGACTATAGAGTAGACTATAGACTGGACTAAAGACTAGACTATAGACAGACTATAAGACTAGACTATAGACTACTATAGACTAGACTATAGACTAGACTATAGACTAGACTATAGACTAGACTATAGACTAGACTATAGACTAGACTATAGACTAGACTATAGACTAGACTATAGACTAGACTATAGACTAGACTATAGACTAGACTATAGACTAGACTATAGACTAGACTAAGACTAGACTATGACTAGACTATAGACTAGACTATAGACTAGACTATAGACTAGATACTATAGCCTAGACTATAGACTAGACTATAGACTAGACTATAGACTAGACTATAAACTAGACTATAGACTAGACTATAGACTAGACTATAGACTAGACTATAGACTAGACTATATACTAGACTAGACTATAGACTAGATATAGACTAGACTATATACTAGACTATAGACTAGACTATAGACTAGACTATAGAGTAGACTATAGACTGGACTATAGACTAGACTATAGACTAGACTATAGACTAGACTATAGACTGGACTATAGACTAGACTATAGACTAGACTAGACTATAGACTAGACTAGACTAGACTATAGACTAGACTATAGACTAGACTATAGACTAGACTATAGACTAGACTATAGACTAGACTATAGACTAGACTATAGACTAGACTATAGACTAGACTATAGACTAGACTATAGACTAGACTATAG